TTTAAGGAGTAGGTAGCAGTTCATATTCAAGTACAGCTCAAGACCCTAAATATATGTAGTCTGAGGTAGAGCCATAACTGTGGTTTCTGACTTCTAGAGAGTAGGAGGAATTTGGGTTTATCTTCTTGCTCGGTGTGTCTTGCACAGCTTCTTGTTGAGCTTGTGGGGTGTCTTAATTGTCTGGAAAACACTCAAGTCTCTGTGCTTGTGGTATATGAAGCATCTAACTGCAGCAATCCAAATCACCCTGCAGGAGCCATGCAGCTAGTCTGTAAATGTAAGAGATGGCTAGGATTTTGTATCTCTAGCTCAGTCTGAAGTAAATTCATGCAATTGGAATGGAGCATGATTTTGGAGTCTGGGGAAAAAAGAAAAACCCAAACCCAAAAAGCAAAGCAAACCCGCCCCTCAAGAAAACAAATTAAAAACCAAAACCAAACAAACAAAAAACCCTGAAGAAACATACACTCAATCATCACATATACTCAATCATCAGTCCTACATATATGCATGAGTAACCCCAGTGACCTCACAGAGCTGCCCTCCACATGCAAAGAGCAGGTCGCCAGGTAACAGCACCTAGTGGAATCAGTCTGAGTGTGGCAGGACTCTGTTCAACCCCGTACTGAAACTTGACTCCCCCAGTTCCAGTAAAATGCATAAAAGCGAGAGTAACTAATGAATATTATTAAACAAACACATCTGGAAGAAAATGCATGAGAGTGTTCTAATTATAGGTCTTTGGAGACTACTTTTGTATGGGTTTATATGTATTTCTGAGTTACCTCAAGGCATGTCTACTGCACAGTGCAAGTGAAATGGACGTGAATGAGGTAAGTTAACTCTAAATGAGCTAGTTCTGGTACCAGAAACAATATAGCCACACTAAGTAGAAATCTGTGCTATCTGATACGACTTGTTTCATTAGGTTAACACAGTGTTACGGATTGGCTAGCAGGATCACATCACTTCTGGTATCCAAATTAACTTATGGCAAGTAGCTTTATGTATATTTAGGACAGCAGTAATTAACATAGAATCCTTCTTTTTTTCTTAAGTGAGTACAATGGTAGATCAGACCTTAAAATACAGTAACACCCAATTCATACAAAATTAAATCAACATGAGAAGTTGTGCCTTCAGATAAGGCAAATTTAAAATATAAATTTCTGCACACTGAAAGTGTTGAAAGCAGTGACAATTCAACTGAGACTAATAGCAATTAAAACAACCATAATTGCAGTCTTTGAAAACTGCAGAAAGGGAGAAAGGATAATATGTCCAACAAATTCATATTCATCAGCTTAATGTTGTGCATGAATACTCCATTAGTAAACCACAGGAAACATAGTTTTAGTAATGTTGTTTTCCCATGGCAGTTTTTGTCATTGTGTTTGAAATGATACAAGTTACAAAATCATCCACTGGACTGGCACCTCTCCTGGAATAAGCATCTGTAGCTCCATCAATTCCCAGTCTTCTACAAATGAGCAGTAAAGGTTTCTATCTAGAAGCTCACTGAAAGTATCTAATACTTTTGGAAAAAACACCATAGCTGCTCTAATACTTTATTTTAGTAGCTGTTACTCTGCAGTTAATATTGCTTAATTAACCACAGAATGATGGAGTCTGGCATGCTGTAGAATTAAATTTCTGTGCAAGGCTCAAACTGTATTTCCAGATGCTGTTAAAGTGCATCAGCCATAGGATATTGCTCCACACCTCAGCTGAGACAAGAAATCACAGCCAGGGCTGCGGTTTCAGTATCAGGTCAGATAAGCAAGCTGAGCCCAGCCAGCAAAGGAGGTCTGAGACAACACAGCTGAACTCGTTTGTTAGTGGGACATGATCATGCAACCCCTTCTGCTACCTTTTTTTGAAGCATCAGTAATGTTGCGACAGGGTGTTAAGAAGCAACATGTGAGAGAAAGGGAAAGAAAGAAGAAAGCTTTTACATCATGTATGCACCACACTTTCAGGGGGACCTAATAGCTATGCTATGAAGTCCCATCACCGTTACATTTTAATAAATGCTAGAAGATCACAGATTTACAATAGTAACTTGGTACCTTACAAGAGTAACATTTGTGACACTCCGTCCCAAATCTTATTTTTCTCAAGACAGTGCTAGCAGACTCCTAGCTGGTTTTGCTACCTCATCAAAGCAAAGCTATCCCCATGAGCTCAGTGGGTAGGGATGATTGCATGTGGAACATTGACACATTCTCCACTGTGTGAAAACACATCACATATGTTTTCTATTATTTTTAATGACAGTCTCTCAGCTGTTTCTCATAGTAGTCAAAAATCTGCTCAGCTCCTGTTTAAAGCAGGAGCCTAGTCTGTATGCTAAGATTTTCTTTTATTTTGTGGCAATGCTCTTCTCCAACCAGCTTCTGCGATGGGAAACAATTCCTGTCCTTTCAGGCACCTTCCACCCTTAAAGTAATACACAGACTAAGCATATTATTCAGAAAAGGAGGACACAGGAAATGCAGCTTGGCATGAAAAAGTCCTTTTTTACTCATGGGGACATGATGTTCAGTGCCAGCAGATGGGTTTGTGCCCAGAAACTGAAGGACAGGGTATGATGAATGCACTTGCCTTTTGGCCTACCTGCATCAAACCAGTGACTGTGTTGGGTAATGTGCTAGTTAGGGGTTAGGGAGCTTGTGTCCACAATTTTTGCTAAGCGTGCAAAGTTTATTTGATGTAATCCTTCTCTTACTGAAATCTTGATCTATAATTTTACTCAAATTTTACTCTTCAACTAGAAAGGGAACATGACTGTAAAGATACCAGAAACAAGAATATTCCATCCATACTGGAAATTCCACCTAAATTTTGTCCTGCATTAAGGATCAATGATTTAGTGGTTACATGTTTCTAAAAATGGCTAGATTCTTCAACTTTGCTTTTCCAAGCTAGAAATGGGAAATATGTTCTTCCCATAGTTTATGTTTCACAAGTTAAAAGAAAACAAAACAGAACAAAACAAAACACAAAAAACTCCCCTGTCCTTTCTGTCACTTTTCTGTTGTATTTTTATGACTATTTTATCGAGCAGAAGCAGCCACTCAAACCTTTAACTGAAGAATAAGTTAGGATCATAGAATCATAGAATCATTAGGGTTGGAAAGGACCTTAAGATCATCTAGTTCCAACCCCTCTGCCGTGGGCAGGGACACCTTACGCTAAATCATATCACCCAAGGCCTCGTCCAACCTGACCTTGAACACTGCCAGGGATGGAGCATTCACAACCTCCCTGGGCAACCTATTCCAGTGCCTCACCACCCTAACAGGAAAGAATTTCCTTCTTATATCCAATCTAAACTTCCCCTGTTTAAGTTTTAACCCATTACCCCTTGTCCTGTCACTACAGTCTCTAATGAAGAGTCCCTCCCCAGCATCCCTATAGGCCCCCTTCAGATACTGGAAGGCTGCTATGAAGTCTCAACATAGCCTTCTCTTCTCCAGGCTGAACAGCCCCAACTTTCTCAGCCTGTCTTCATACAGGAGGTGCTCCAGTCCCCTGATCATCCTCGTGCTCCTCCTCTGGACTTGTGCCAACAGTTCCGTGTCCTTTTCATGTTGAGGACACCAGAACTGCACACAATACTCCAGGTGAGGTCTCACAGGAGCAGAATAGAGGGGCAGGATCACCTCCTTCGACCTGCTGGTCACACTCCTTTTAATGCAGCCCAGGATATGGTTGGCTTTCTGGGCTGCAAGTGCACACTGAAGCCGGCTCATGTTCATTTTCTCATCAACCAACACCCCCAAGTCCTTCTCCGCAGGGCTGCTCTGAATCTCTTCTCTGCCCAACCTGTAGCTGTGCCTGGGATTGCTCCGACCCAAGTGTAGGACCTTGCACTTGGCATGGTTAAACCTCATGAGGTTGGCATCAGCCCACCTTACAAGCGTGTCGAGGTCCTTCTGGATGGCATTCCTTCCCTCCAGCGTATCAACTGAACCACACAGCTTGGTGTCATTGGCAAACTTGCTGAGGGCGCACTCAATCCCACTGTCCATGTCAGCGACAAAGATGTTAAACAAGACCGGTCCCAACACCGATCCCTGAGGGATGCCACTCGTTACTGATACCTATTTCTTAACTACTAAACTGGCATTTGGCGTGTTGGACTCATCTTTCATGTCTTCTGCAATTCAGAGGGAAAGGTACTGTCTGGAGCTAGTGAGTGCTTACAATGAATCTTGTGAGATAACAGCATAAATACATCAGGGTAGATGGTATATCATAATATACTGGAAAGGATCTGATTATATATAGTTTGCCCTATGTTTAGTGGACCTGAAAAATGTGTGTATTAATTATTTCTTCTGAATTTCTTCAGTTTCTTGACAAAACTTATGGTCCTGGTGTCGGGATAGAACATCCAGATATTGGTAGGACATTGAGCACCACTTGGAGCTCCTGGATCTTGCAGTACATCTGGCTATACGAGTTCATCTTAACAGAGACTAAAAAAGTTACAAGGTTGTTTGAAAATATTTTATTCAGAGTTTAAACACATAACAATGCTGGGAAGACCCCCTGAAGCATTTCACAAAGAACTTTATTAAATGCAAAACAGTACCATAATTGAAAAAAATAAAAGCAGGAGAGTAACAAGAAAGGTAACAAATTCTATACTTAAGCATATTTAATAATATTAAAATATTTAATTCCTCTAAAATAGCCAATTAGTGTTGCAGTACTGGGTTTTGTACAAAATGTGGTGCCGATATTGTTTTCTTGGAAGTGGAGGTATTCAAGGCCAGGTTGGACAGAGCCTTGGGTGACATGGTTTAGTGTGAGATGTCCCTGCCCATGGCAGAGGGGGTTGAAACTAGATGATCTTAAGGTCCTTTCCAACCCTAACTATTCTGTGATTCTATTCTATGATTCTATGACATATTTTAGTCATACTAAAGAGCAGCTTTTCACTATGTGAGATCAATATTTGTGTTCAGGGTGAAAATGATCTAAGGATCCTTTTAGTCGTAGTTCATGTCATAGCAATTGTTCCTTAGTCCTACCCAGAAGACTTGTTTTTTTCCTCTTAGATCAAAACTTATGCTGGTGGAAAAAGCTGGTGTAATGGAAGAGTTAGCACTTCAGTCTAGAAAATAAGATATTTCAGTTAATAAATAGAGATGCACTAAGTGTATGAAAATGATTTTGGTGTGACCCTGACAGCATGTGACAGCATATATGTAATTCAGTATAATTTCAAACAAAATATAGTGATTCTGTCACTTTTAAAATACATATAGTTAAAAACAATTCTACAGAAATTTGCAAAATGGCATGTTCAAGATAATGAAAACAAATGCCAAAACACTGGTGCTCCTTTGACAGTTTTACCAGCAGTAGTGTGGTTTTGCACATTGTGTATTCAACTGTAAGACCTCTTGGCCTTTTTCCATTTTACCTAGAAACAGATGTAAGATCTCTTAACATATTTTTTTTTCTTTTAAATTACTATGGTATATTGACAAAAATTTCACTGGGAGCAGAAGTCACCATAACAAGCCCTTTTAGAAATGCATTCATTGTGTCATGAAATCCTGCATTTGCTAATTATCTTTCCTTAACTCTATTGCAGACCTTCAAATTAACAGCTATTGCAAACTATAGGCAAACAGTAGGTGCCTGACTTAATTAACTCTGACTCTGTGTGATGTGATTTGTATCTTGGTGTTGCTTGTGCTAAAAATGGTCACCGGTTTTCCTATGGCATATGGCTGTAATTCTTCAAAGGGCTGTGATATAGCAACTTTATAGAATACTTTATTGTTATTTGATGATTTAGTTATTGTTATGGCCTGCAGATCAGAAGACCTGCAAGCACCATGGCACAGCTAATGGAGTAATGCCAAACTAATTGCATTATTGTTTTGATTAAGACCTCCTATATATAACAAATAAAAAATATTAATAGGAATACCAGAACAGATTTGCTGTATGGCCTAAACAGAAACAGACTGCATGATCACATGGGTAGGATCTTCTGAAGGGCAGAAGACCACTGCAGTCAAGGAAGAGATTTCTTATTTTCCCCTGCAAGGTTAAATTCTAATCCTAACCACTGTCCTCTCCCTGCACCACTGTGGCCATGCACAGTTACTTTCAGCTCCTCAGGAGATGAAATTCAGCTGCTCAGCTGCGGGTATGGTTATACTTCTTTGCTGTCCTACTCCTGGTACAATATCTACTTCATGAAAATTCTGGGGACACTGTGACAGCAATTAACACCAACAAAAACCTGCCAGCTTTCCAGGAGCCCTTCCGGACAGATAGATTTCATCCTCACTGTGGGGAGGAATATATAAAATAATAACAATGTTCTGTTTTGAAAGCACAAAGTCATGAAGAAGATCATTCACAAAAGACCAGTCTGGATCCAGGTGGCACACTCTGTCGATCATCTCTGCATCCTGCTTAAAAGGAGGCAGTCCAGTGTACCCACACATCTTTCAATTTATTACAAATTTGTAAAAATTTGGGGTTTTTTTTTGTTTTTTTATTTATTTTTTTTTTGTATAATATACAGTTGTGAATGCCCCATCTTTTTGATCACCGTGAAAAGACTTCTACATTTTGAGGCATAAAATGCTGCACAAACGTGTACACAAAAATAGTAATTTTCTTCAACATTTTGTTACAGAATGTGTGGTAAAGCCCGTATCAGAAAATGTCATAGATAATAACTATCAACCAATTAACCAGTAGTCATATCAATACTTAGAGTCACACCATGTTTTAATACCTGATGAATATTAATATTTTTTGGTTTTAATGGACTGTCTCCTCAGATGTTAAATTTGAAGGGAGGCAGTATACTTACCTTACGGTTGGCAGCTGTACTTTCTATTTTGAGTTGAGTCCTTACGGTCTTTGCAAAGTACCAAATGTTCCTATTTCCTATGAGAAGGGTTTCCAAATAAGCCTTTGGCAGTATTTCTGAACAAAATGGGACTGCTGCAGAAATAAACTGGCTTTGTGTCTCAAATCTCCATGGGGCTTATGAGGCAAAATGACTTCAGCAGAGAAAGTAGGTTAAAGCAAGGACAGACAGCCTCCTCAATGAACGGAGCTAGAAATAAGCACAGATACTCACCCCATTCTGTACACTTAAGATTTAGTAGTTCTAAAAAAGAGCACAGGTAAAAAAAAAGAATAAAATTACTAATGTTTATAAAAACATGTTCATTAACTCTTACTTGGATGAGTTGTCCTGTAAAACTGCCATGACTCAGCTGTAAACTGCCTTTGCTTTATAGACATAATTTAAAATATCTCATTTGATATAATCTTAAAATTTGAAGGTAGCCTGTTTTTTGACATGAATGTTTTGACATGAATGAAAACTTTATTTGATTTTCTTTTTGGTGTGTGTTTCTGCCAATATGCATTAGCAGGCATTGGATGGTTAGGGTTTTTGTTCTGTTTTTGGAAGCACTGAATAGGTAATGTGCTTGTGTAAGGATAAATAGGATAATGAGTGTCTTGTTAATCAATTAAGACATTAAATAATTCATGTTTTAATAAAAAAAACAATTCTAATTGTTTTTTAGAATTTCTTCTTTCAGGGATGGACTCTCTAGAAATTAAAATATATTCTTAATTTTTCCCTACCTAATCAAATAGCTGTTGTTTTCCTCCATACCAGTTGTCAGCAACAATGTGGATTTTGTCCCCTACCTTCTACCTATAGCTATTACTTCTGGAAATAATTTTGTAACATCCCTAATATATTATTCCACTGCTTTTCAGCTCCAGTTATGAATTACCTTTAATGGAGTTACTAATTTTTGACACTGAGTAGTTTTCATAGCTCCAAAATGTACTGATAATGTTTCTATCACTTCTGTGTCATGCTTTATAGTATCACTGTGTATCACTGTGGGAAATTAAATTCTAAGAACAGAAGCATCTTATTTTTCTGAGCTTTTCTCTCTTCTTTTTGTAATGAAACAGTGCCCCCAAGAGCCTTTATTTAGGAAGGGGTAGTTTAAGAAAATTAAGTCAATTAATGGTTCACCAGTATATTAATCCCTAAATATAAAAAATCTGCCAGGCATTGCAACCACAGATGTTGGTTTGAAGGACAGTCAAAAGGCAGTTTGGTTTGGTTTTCATATTTTATGCCCAATAATAGAAAGTTAACTTAACGACTAAATTCTTTTAATATGTTTGGAGACCTCTGCCTGCAGAGGACATCTTTGCTGGTATTCTGAAGAAAGGGAGAATGCGCTGTCTGCTAAGGCTGCAGAGCACTGCTTCTTAGTGAGTTTCTTTATTGGTGGGCCGGTTTTGCCCTTTGCCGATTGACATCAGGACAGCGGGCAGCAGTCCAGGAGGCAGCAGAAAGCACTGTTTGTTTGTTTGTGTGGATAAGCAGAGAAGAAAGATGGCATGAAGTGAAGAAGAACAAAGAGAAAACCAGGAAGAACTTTAGCTACAACAGAGTTATAAAATACAAATAATGAGCCTATTATGCATTTTTCCTAAACTACATGAAATACACATGAAAATAATCATGAATAGCCCCTAAATCTCACAGGGGCAGATATTTAAAGTGTTGAGAGTCATCACTACTTTTTCTGAGTAATACACAACAGTTGGTTGACAGCATCATGACTGTTGAAAAACTGAGGAATCATCATCACAGCATCTAGTAGATTCATCATCCTCAATGGAGAAATTTTTTGAAGAAAAATTCGGAAAGGAAAAAAATGCCAGTTTACCTGTCCATTAGCCTTTACATTAAGAGATAGCATGAGGGAGAGGGGAAGGGTAAGAGAGAAAAAGCTTGAAAACAGGAAAGGATGCCACTTGGAAAAAAAAAAAACGAAACAACCCTTCATTAATCATTACATTCAGTGCAGACTTGAATTTAATGTACTATTAGCACCACAGAGCACAAGAGGAATTGTAAATAAAATGAAAAGAAAAGGGGGGGTTGGGGAAAATTAATCACTGGCTTCAGTCTGCAAACTAGCATTGTAATTGTATTTAATTATAATCCAAAACTGTATGAGATTACTCACCATATACAGACAGGACAATTAGGACTGTGGATCTTCCCAGGAAAGATGATACCCATTCCGATCTGACTCCTTGATACTATATTGATGTAGTTATCTACAGAAAAGTAGCAATTTTTATGGTTAAATGAAAGGGTGTATACATCAGAGCAATGCTACAAGTTTTGCATGGGCACTAAACATTTACCTCTGATTAGCTCATTGTTGGGAGTGGCAAAAGGACTGGGAATTGTGGCTGATGGGCTGAGGTTGGGTTTGTGAGAAGAACAGCCAGGAGAAGTGGGCATGGCCCCTCATTTCTCCATAACGGTTGGTTTTCTTATGGGGTAACAGATCTTACCAGAATGGAAAGCAAGAAAAGGATTACTATCAATGAACTCCACAGCAATGAAAACTATTTCAAAATAATTTAAAATGAAAGGTAACAGTGTCTGCCTCACACAGCAGTTACCCTGTGCATCAGTGACAAATTAAAATCCATGAAATGTAAAGGAAAAACTCCCTGTCCTGGCAGTCTTCTCATCAGTCTCATATACCACAGTCACTGACAGATGAGCTTTGCAGCATACTGTGATGTTTAGCAATACAGGCTATTTTACACCAGAACTGAGGAGCTTGGGTTGTGTAAGTGCAAGGCTATGAAAGTCACTCACACATTCATGCACTTCAGCTGATTTTCCACTGCCCAGCTGAGACACCTTCTGGCTTCAGCAGGGTCCTTTGCCACTTGCTGAGCTGGTGACCGCCCTTGCTTTGCTCACTCCTTTTTACGCATTGCTGGTTCAAGGCAGCTGCCTCATCCACAAAAAAAAAGTCTTTTCCCCTCCAATATTTCTTACACCACCCTGATGCCCTAATATTGTCTAAACCCTGAAAAACATTTACCACAAACAGAATTTTGGGTAATTCTATGTCTTTCTCACCATCCCGTTACATAGGTTGGCCGTAAGTAGAAGTTTATAAGTGAAATTTTAAAAAGTACTTGTGAAAATAATTGCTTTAAATAATTTTCACTAATCTGTCACAGGAGCAGCTCAAGATTTCATCCACCACAGAAGGAGAAAATATAAATAGCAGGCATGGTCTCCCAAAATAGCCTGCTAATAGCCAATAGCTCTCTTTAGCAGAGCGATCTAATTTTCTCAGGTATACCTCAATTTAAAAACAGTGATTTCCATCCAGATTCTAGGTCACTGAAAGCTTTAGAAGTCAAAGCCAGTACTCTGAACTCTACCTGGACTCTATGCAGAGCATTTAAGAAAGATAAATAGGTGTAAAAGGCTTGTGATGTGATAAGATCTGTGCGAGAGCAATAGTGCAGTAAACTAGATGATGTTGTTCAGATCAAACATGCAGCAGGTCAGAATGTGGTTATTTGAGTTGTACAGATCTGTGTGAACAAAGATAAGCATAAGAAAGTGCTATACAACACACATACAAGAACTAAATCATAGCATTCCTAGATAATTCCAATTTACAAAGAATAAACTATGTTCTCAGTCATTGGGGCAGCACCAAAATTAAGCTTAACTCTGTGGCACATAGCTTTGTTCTCTGCATAGGAGATGTCTAGATACTGCAGCTTTCCTCAGCTTCATTACGCATTCACTAAATATTTTTACATGGAATTACAAACTGATTTTGGGTCACAGAGTGTGTCCATTCTTTATCTCACTGCACCTAATAATTATTCCTTGTTGTATTAGAATTACAACTAATTAGATTCCCTAATAATAATAAAAGAAACATGCTGTAATTTAGCTGTTAAATGCATCTATGTAACTAATCTTTTAAAGTCTATACTGGCTTCTCAAATAAATGAAAATAAAGATCTACTTTCTTTATCACTATTTTATGGATTTTTATATAGCTTTGACACCACACTTTACAGTCTGATTGCCTCAGAGCATCTCAGGGGTGGAAGAATAAACTCTACTCTGATAAAATTAAACAAGTACTCTTTAAAGGTTTAGGTGCCTTGTGTTCGTTACAGACACTTCGAGATCATTTGCTTGTGTTTTGTGCTTGATATAAGCACAGGAAAGCTGTAGTACTGCTAATCAGCGTGCCTTTTCACTAGACATTCAGTGCATTGCCTGCAGTTCAGGGGATTGATTTTGTTCTGATTAATAAAATGACAGATTTCTGAGCTTTAGTAAATGTTTCACTATCTAACACTCATAAAAATAACTTGTTGCATTTATTTTCTAACATTTAAAATTCAGCATTTGCCTTTAACTGGAAGTTTGTTCTTTTTATTATTAACCCAGTCAGATATGACGCTTGAACAGGTGTATTAATGAGCACAACATTTCATTTCCCAGTGCAGCAAATAGTTCTGCTGCTCTTGAAATTTCTTGCCCCTGACAACTGTAGTCAATATTTGCCAGCTTGAGGTGGTAATACCAAAATATGTTACCACACAGCCCATCACTTGCTGGTAGAGCAACAATCTACAAGCATGTATGTACTGTTGTTACTCCTGCTTGAAACTGTTATTTGGTTGAAGTTTGTGTGTCTGTGAGAGGAGATCTGTTTTTCTGTTGCTTTGGGGTTGATTTTTTTTTTTTTTAGCAATATTTGTAACCAATTTCCCCATCTATAGGAGAAATTTCTACTTCAAATTAGAAGTAATTTCAACTGCAAGTGAAGGCAGTAATTTTTCCCTTTCTTGATTTGATTTCTGTGTAACAGTAAACTCACCAAAGAGAAAATGTTGTGGAATGAAGAAGATAATGGATGGTTTTATAACTGGAGTAGAGTGAATTTTACAATACATGGGAAAAAAGTGACCTCTGTTCAGAAGCCTCTCTGCTCATTAGCAGATGGCTGTGGTTTAATAATTCTACTGTGGCCCAAAGAAGGAATCAAATTAGATGTGTGAAGCTGTCATTACTCTGTGTGTTCCTCTGTTTAGTTCCAGCTTAAAGCATGTCATTCCTTTCATAGCAGCCACTCAGATTACTGTATCTCATCCTTTCCACATCAAAGTGCTGTCAGCACTTTTATAGTATAAAAAGGACGCAGAGATAATTTTACAATACATTCTCTTCAAGCAGCATTGACTTGTACACTTACAACATTTCTTTTTGGTCTGGGATGACTAAAATGAGTAGCATCTTAAAACTGAATAAAACCAGGAACAGAAATACCTATTTAAAATTGGACCAGTGCACCACTGAGGGAATGGTGGGATTTCAGACAGTCAGTTCTTCTCAAGTGCTGTCTGAATTATGTTTCAGTCAATAACAACCATCGTGAGTGTGGAAACATGTCTATTCTTTGGAAAACATGGATCATCTCTTTTTTTTTTACTAAATTAAAAAATACCCTAAAATGTCTTTAGTGAAATATATAGTAAGTCAGGTCCCAATTCCAACATACCAAAGACATAGCCTCAGCTAGTAACCAGTGCATAGACAGCTGGGCTTGCTGTGTTGACCTTATTGCTCTATGACAAAGTAAAGAAGGAAAGAAAAAGAATACAGGAAGAAAGGAGTGAAAGGCAGCAGAAAGACGCAACTTTGTAGGATTGGCTTTGACTTTGTGGACTTTCTTTAAATCCACTCTGCCAAGAGCTGTGCTTTCTTCATAGATGCTCATTATGAAGCTATACATATATAATTTGTAAATGTATGCACTGTATTTCCTAGCCATGTTTGTCATTTACCAGCATCTATAGAAGAGGTCGTCACAGAACTGAGCAAAGGCCAGGGACAGGAAACAGAACTGTGAAAAGCTGATAGATGAACTTCAAAAAGGGAAGGCAGCCTGTGTGTTGGCAAGCAGATGAGCAATTTATGTGGTTCATCTGCCCATCTCCCATTTCAGGTATTCTCAACAGCTGGGCTTGGAAGTGATATGATGTAGGACTTAGCCTTTTTTCAGCTGGTAGAAGGATAAAGGTTTTAGATCTTACTATGTCATTGGAGCTAAACTGTGCTTACTACAGTCAGTTTTTTTTAAAGGAACAACATACTTAGGTTTTCTGATATTCTTCCTGCTGTTTTCTACATAAGCAAGTAATAATGTAACAAGCTCTGGAGTTTCAGGAGGATGTGGTATACCATTTTCAGAAGAGCTGGGGATCTTAGTCATGCAATGGCAGTTGAAGGCAACACAACACAGAGGAAGAATTCTGGGCAGGACAGACCTAGCTACTGCCACACAAAGGATAAAGCTTGATCAGCAGGCAGGAATTGTATGTTTCTTTTACAGAGAAATTCTAGAACTTTGGTTTTATCTCAGATTTCAAAGAATTCAGATTTTATTTTTTTTTCTTATTTACAACAGGGAATGGAACTACAAATCAATAAATAATTACCAAAGCAAAGCATGTAATTTTCAAGGTTATAATACATTATAATACATTAATTTTTTTCAAAATTAAAAAGCAAAGTATAGCTGTGAAATAAGGTGAACATGCTCCCGTGAAAGCATAAAGTTCAATGAGAGGAAAAGTGAATATTTGGATAATTCATTTTTTGAAATTGATGGCAAACCATTCTGAAATCATGGGAATAAAAGTTCAGGTCTACATATATTATGTTTGTCAGATCCATCTCTATCTAAATACTGAGCACCTTTGTCTCGGAATTTTGAAAGACTGCTCAGGTGTATTACGAAAGATTTGCAGTCAAAACTATTTCTTCCTCCCTCAGTCATCTTTTGCTCCCTTATTAGCATATGATTGTCACTAGTGTGTCCTTGGCTCTTCATGAATGCAAAAGGACAAACACTTAATAATACTGTTTCATCTTACACAGAGGTCACAAACTGATCTTAGTTAATGTCAGTGTAAATCTGGAGAAGCTCAGCTGAGCTCAATGGACGTACTCAGGCCTGAAATCAATTATTACACTGGTGTGAGATGGAGCCCAGCTCATCGGCCGGGTTCTGGCATTGAGATGCAAATGGCAACCACAGGGAACAGCAGAGCATTGCCCAGGCATCTCAGAGCCAGTCCTGGCCACCCAGTGCTCCTTGGCACTACTCGTGCAGAACAGGCGAGCAACAATGCTGGGGCGTGCCTGGGTGCTGCATCTCATGTAGCTACATGGCCAAGGAGCAAAGAGGGAGAGATTCAATACAAGTCAGTAATTGTCATGCAGCCATGCAAGAATAGAAACAAAATGCAGCTTAAATACTCCTCCCACAGCTCAGCCCCCATGATTATGATTCTCATAACCAGAGTAGTAGCTGTGGTGCCCATTTTTCCATTTCAGTCTCTGACATCTGTGGGCACTGGCACTGAAACAGACCCCACTGGGATGCCTGGAAGGCAGTGCTGTCCCAGGTTACTGACAGGATATATCAGTTTAGATAAACTGATGCTTCCTGACACCCACCCTGGGAGAGCCACCTTGCAGGAACAGGCTGCAAGCATACACCACAAAGTCCTTTTCCATCTCCTTCCTGTGTCTTACCTCCTACTGCCAACCAACAAGCAATTAAAAATGTGAAGTAATATGTTGTACCAGTTTAAAAATTACACTTCCCACACTATGTGTCATTGTATCACTTTTAAAACAAGGAATTTAACCCAAAGTCGCACATATCTGTACACATACGCACATATGTACACATAGTGGTACCCCAGTAGCACAATGGGATATTCCAGGGGTAGGGATCTGCAGATGTTCTTGAAACCCCGTTCCCAGGGAGCCTGCTTTCCAGCTTGCATTAACTTTAATAATATGCAGAGGTGCTTAAGGGTTTTGTTTCTTTTGCCATATCTGTGTTTTCCCACACTATTGTTCTATATAAAACAGAATAACATTGAAATAGATTTTTTTATCCTTGGTGATATTTATCCTCTAGCGATTTTTCCCCTCTAGTAGCTGATGTAAGTAAATGTGAACAGCGGAAGTATTGATCAAGCAGGTAATTCTGAAAGCAAAGAATGACATAAAATTTAACAAGCAAACTAATCTTCCATTTCTTTTTGTTCAGTATTTATTACCATTATTTAGTGCAGTTTACCTTTCTGCAGTTGTTATGCTACAATTGGCAAATCTGGGAAAAAAAGAGTAAATCACAGAATGGTTTGGGTTGGAAGGGACCTTAAAGATCATCAACTTAATACATAATAAATAAATAAACACATAAAACCTTGACAAACCCCTTGATCTATGACAATTATAGGATAAAGGCTCATATGGAAGGGATCAACAATAATTTGATTTTTTATAGTGAAAGTTTCTTTTTCCCCATTTAACTCCCTACTTTAAGCTCCATATGACTTTTCAAGCTGTCGTCATACCCACATGATATTGATATACTGCTACTAAAACTGAGGGTGATCATTTTCTTCATTCGTAGCACTTCTAGACAACCTGTAACAAACAACTATGCTCTGCCCACTAGCTATGTAAAATATATTCATTGTAAGTGCAAAAGAGAAAGCTTCCAACTCCTATATTATCACCTCTTTATTAAGCTCTTGAAGTTAAAAGATTTAACATGGAGTATAAAGATACCAAATTAAAACCAGTGTTTCAGGCAACATCCTGTTTTGGTGAGAATTACATCTCTTTGCTGAATACAGGCCTCAGAGCTGATGAGAATCAGGGTAAGAAATGATCGCCGCTGCTCCAGCCCTCAGTCCCTGGAACATCCAGAGGGTTCTCTGGGCAAAGGCTGAGAAGGGCAGGGATTTGTCACTCTACTAGGTTAAAGCCGCAGACATAAGAAGGAAGGTAGTTACTAGAGTCTCCAAGAACTGAAGAGTGGTTGGGGCCAATAGGTCAAAACAAAGGAATTTTCTTCACATCAGTCTTACAGAGCGAAATTACATGAATTAGTAAAGAACGATACTGAGGGCACTGAAGATAGAAAGTGTTATGTTTCTAGTTATGGGGTGTAAGAGGCTGCATCACAGTCATGCGTGCAGTAGATGTTGTCACGCTGTGGGCCATATGCTTTTAAGTTTCTCAGGAATTAATAAAGTCATGACTCTGCTTCTTCCAACCTCCCCCACAGGTCAGCCGGATTATGGGGTGTGTTGCCCTCGTGTGCTCTCACACAGCGGTGATACTTTGAAAATCAAGTCTAAATACATCTTCTTCTCACAGGGAACACATAATAATTCTACCAAAAAGTATCAAGACAGACTGTACACAGCAGCTTTGAGATGCAAATATCCTAGCTGTGACTAGTGAGCTAATCAGACTGCGCAGGAGGCAGACAAGTGGAATTCCAGTTTTATATATGGGCACACACTAAACAGTTTTTAGGTATTGTGATCTAGCTAACCTCATTCCTGCAGAGCATCAATCCATCAATCACCTGCCAGATCTATAGCATTTATTTTCTCTTGCAAGCCACAAATCTGAGACAGTCCTGATACATGTCAGTCAAACTTCCAGAAATACCATTCATCGTCTTCGCCACTGAGTGTATTGACAATACATATATAAATATATATACCCTATACATAACTAAGTGATAGCCTGATTAGTTACTTATCTGAGGGCTCTTATAGTGGTTAGAAGTAAGAAATGAATACCGCATTTAGGGTCTTATGCTAAGCTGCTGAGTCACCTTATTTTCTGCAGACTTCAGTAAGGAATGGAGAACAAAAGCCGCTCACAGAATGGTGTCTGTAGGGAGAAGTGTTGTCTCATGACAGCCAGCAGAGCTACACTGTCAGTGGGGACAGCTTCTGTGCTCACTATACATCTAATATCACTCAAGTGACATTACTCAGAATATTAAATAGTGCTAGTATTTCGGAATAGAAGGGTATTGCTGTTGCCAAGTTCTGCACTTATACTTGCTGAAATAAAAGCCATGATAGAATATATATATAAATTCATTTCCTCTGTTACTATGGTGATTAGTCTTAAAAGGTACTATAACAAACATGATGAGTAATAATTATTCCATGTAAAAACCAAACAAACAAATCCCTTGCTCTAGTTCCCCTGAAATGTCAAGCAATTCTGACTGGAACAGGAACTACCTGCTAAGAACAGTGGATTGATATGATGAAGCTGGAGGGTGTCTGCTTTATAGAATTAAACCTTTATAGAATTAATGAATTAACAAAACCCCCCAGCACTGATAATGATAAGCTTGCTTTACTTAAATTAGCTTCTATGAGAAATCACTGAAAAAAAGAGGCTTTTACAATTTATTTTTTTTTAACTGGAGTATGCTCATGGTGTTAAAAGCATGAATGTATAAAAGCAGTGAATTGTAACTCTTTAATGTTGACCTTCTTTTGATAACTCAGCTTTGGCATAGCCTCTGCTTTTAAATGAGAGCACTCAGCTTGTGCTGCTGGCTTAAATTCACTGTATGTCTAGCGAGCTTCAGCAGGTTTAGTGCTTTTCTACTTTAGACCTGTATGACTTTTTCCTCCCCAAAGAAGTAAATTATTTATAAAGCACCAACCTTTTTTAACCCAGCTTCTGACAGGCTGGGATTTTTCCAATCTCAGTTGAAACTGTCTAAATAATTTATCAAGTATTCTTTCAAAGTACAATGAATTCTGAAACCTAAGAAATGTTAAATGGGATTCTTTGCCCTTCTAGTGTGAGTGGGTTACTAAGGTTAAACTAATATTTTCTTTGAACTTTTCTCAGTCCTGTTTCCTCCCACTGTATATAGAGTTCCCTTTTTCTCTCCTGCCGTCTATGTATTCATTTTCATGACATTTTCTATTTATCAGACTTTTCCTTTGTGTTTCTCTGTCTCTTGCTAACTCTTCCCTTACAGAAGAGTCTTCCTATACCTCACCTTAGTTACAGTAAGACAGCTGTCCCTTTAAATGGTCTTTGAGATAGAAAAAACATTAATATCTGTGTCCCAAGCTGTACAGGCAGTATCAGTCCAGTTAAATGTCCTCAGTGTTTTCAGCCCAGCCTCAAATTCAACAAAACCTTCTCCCATCCCCATAAAGAAAACAGTGATGAATTATAAAATCATGGAATAGTTTGGGTTAGAAAGGATCTTTAAAGATCATCTGGTACAACCCCCGGCAATGAGCAGAGACATCTTCAACTAGACCAGGTTGCTCAGAGCCTCATCTAGCCTGACATTGGATGTTTCCAGGGATGAAGCATCTACCACTTCTCTGGGCAACCTGTATCAGTGCTTCAGCATCCTCATCATAAAGAATTTCTTCCTATGTCCAGTCTAAAGCTAGCCTCTTTCA